CACACACACACACACACACATACATACACACACACACACACACGCACGCACGCACGCACGCACGCACGCACGCGACACACACACACACACACACACACACACACACACACACACACACACACACACACACACACACACCCAACATCTGTTGTTTTATCTGTTTTATCTCAATGGCTCAATAGCGCCATCTTGCGTCGAAAAATGTAAAAGTACATTCCCCCACCCCGCAACCGGTCGACCACGATAACGGTCGATGACGTTTCTTAAAATTAAAATCCCACATTTTGGACTTTGCAATGCAATATCTCCGCTCATAGGGCATGTAGAAAAAAAATAAAAACACTTTCATTATACAAACCGAATCCAAGTTGTCGATTAAGACTTCTTGGAATTTAATCGGTTCGACCGTTATTGAGATCTCATAATCTCGGGTGCTCGCAACGCGACGGCTCGCGTGAAGAAACCCGGCATGGCTTGTAAACACTTGACACCAAGCCACTACCGTCTCCTGATTTAAAATTTATTAAATTAAATTTTTTTAAAATTATTTTTTTAAAATCAGATTAATACAACTTGGATTCTGTTGGTTTAATTTGATACAATAGTTTTTTTCGGGGTGTGGGGGTCTTATACATATAAGACGTCACCCACGTTGCGTATGTCAGGGTTAGGAGAGCACGGGAGTTGAGGCGTTCTCAATCACGAGACAGTTTTGTTGGACGATACGTTTATTTCTACTCTTTCCTATTTACAATTTATGTACAAGGCGCGTATGCGCGGTCTTTGGTTGATTGGCCCGGAGGCCGTTTGTTGGCCCAAAGGCCGGCGTCTCCCGACGCCTCAGTGGTGTGCCGCCAGAGCCTGATGTCGCTTGGTTGTAGCGTGGCTATCGGTGGCCTGGTCCTCCGGACAGGAGACGAATCGAGTGGAAGGAGTTTCCACTCGATCGTCGTCGGTTGCCCTCGAGACAGGGCTCCTGCCCGTGTCGTCGGTTGTTCTCGAAACAGGGCTCCTGCCCGTGTCGTCGGTTGTTCTCGAGACAGGGCTCCTGCCCGTGTCGTGATCGGCCAGCTCGAAGCAGAACACTGCTTGCTATTGGTTTCTCGTGACAGTGGTTTTAGGCCTCTGTCGTCCCTTGCCTTACGCCTAGTTAACCGGATGCGTTATCCGTTGTGGCGGCTCAACAGAGCAAGGCAAGTGCGGTCGTTGACCGCGGTCCCGGGGCCTATATGGCCCTCCAGACCGTTTTTCGCTCACGCGTAACTGTACGACCCGCGGGCCCTCTGGTGGTGCTCCGCGAGTAGTTAGCGCGGCGCGGTACTCGGGCGCCTGTGCCGCCTACCGGTGGCGCGTGACAGGTGCGCGGCGCGTGCGCGCAGCCGCGGACTCCCGCTGCCTG